GTCTTATTGATAATATTGTAGTCGGTGATATTTGGTAAATACAAGTACTATATTTTATAAAAGGGTAACAAAATTCATCGTAATAGCATACCTAATCAATTACAATAAATTCAATAAGATATTGAAATATGATATTCATATATGATTATATATGCATGATCTATACAATACTACCAATATGTCGTTATTTTTTTTTTTTTTGCTTAAATATCACATGCCTTGATATGATCAATCAATCTACCAATATTTGCTATAATTATTTGTAAATTACATGTAGTTAACCAACATATATGTAGTAAAAAATTGACCGACAATTCAAACCAAAAATTTAATTAACAATATTTTTCTCATGCATGTCATAAATTGTGCTAAAGTCTTTGGGTTTGAGATCATTAACTCCAACTCGCTGCTTTAGAAACTATTTTAACGATCAACTATATATTTTAATAGTCTCATATAATCATATATATACATATATACATACATATATACATACATATATACATATATACATACATATATATATATATACATACATATATATATATATACATACATATATATATATATACATATATATCATAATAGTGTCAGTGTGTTTGACTTTTATTAAATAAATTGTAGAATGTTTAATTTTATGTTCAACAAATGTAATTAATTATTAAATAAAAATATAAATTTTTGTTTAAAAAGGATTGTTTAAGATATTTATTTTATTTTGAAAGTAAATTCCTAAATTGAGTACATATATATGGTTAGCACGCATATTGTGTGTAAGATTTCACAATATTGAATAATAAACTTAAATAGTCATATGCAATAAGAAGCAATCCTTGTAATAATTTATGATTATAATAAAGTTATGATTTTATTCTTATTATTATTAGTTTTATTGTTTTGGTATGTTTGGCGGTAAAGTTAGGCAACGAAAGGCAGTATCCCTAAACCGAATATCATATACAAGTATATCAAATACATATTCCCATAATATATAGGCCAACCATTTTTATATACGATATTATGTAAATTTATATGGTTGGCATAATATATTATCGTTATATATGCCAACTATATAAATTACAAAAATAGATTATTTTACCTAATATATCTATATATATATATTTATATATATATATATATACATTAAATCAGTAAAAATAATATCTAAATCAGTAAAAATAAGTTCAGTTCAGTAAAAATAATTTCAGTTCGGTAAAATAAGTTCAGTTCAGTAAAAATAATTTCAGTTCGGTAAAATAAGTTCAGTTCAGTAAAAATAATTTCAGTTCAGTAAAAATAAGTTCAGTTCATTAAAAATAATTTCAGTATAAATAAGTTCAGTAAAATTCAGTTTTAATCAGTAAAATTCAGTTTTAATCAGTAAAAATAATTTCAATTCAGTAAAAATAATTTCAGTTCAGCAAAATTAAGGTGAAGTGAACGGGGCCTTAGTCACTCATAATTTCTTAAAGTCTGGAGGGAGCCCAGGTTGATCTCCGTGATAAACGGATACGTTTATCTCGGTGGCAAAATTGTAAATATTTTTACATTTTGAAAAAAAATAAATAAATTAAAAATCACCATCATCTTCCTCCTCACTCCACCGTGACCCATCTCCATGATTAATCCATGGTTTCCTTTCCTCCTTCCTTCACATTCCCGACCCTACTAGCACCTTCATCTTCTTCCTCCTTCTCTAATCCCCAAACACCTTAATCTTCTGATTTCTTCTTCAAGATGCTTCAATGGTGAATACGAAACCTCAACACCATTTTCGGCGACTTCGTCGCCAAATCCAACGAAAACCCTGTGTAAATATGTAGAAATTAAGGGAATGGTTAACCCCTAAGGGGAAAGTGTTTTCGTTTGCTTATTTGATATCCCCCTTCTATTGGTATTCACCATTGATGGAGCTCGTCAGCTTCTTCGATTTCATCAGATTTGCATTCTCCCATTAAAGCTGCTTGGAGGATCTCCTCTTTCAAATGGCAAAAATACCCCTCATTTTAACTGCGAAATGACCACAATATCATGTGATAAACTTCACATGTTTATCACCGAGATTAACTTGTATTTACTCATATGGTCACTTATAAGTATTCCTATAAACTATAGGAAGATTCTATATATGCAGTCGTGGAACTTGACTACTTAAGAATTTAAGAATACTGATAGTGTATAGATTTGGAAGGTGCTCAGTTGCTCACGTCATTCTTACCTTTCTTTTGAAGTTAGCAACCCTTTTTTTTTTTTTTTTTTTTTTTTTTTTTGCTTTCTCCATTCAATTTTCTAATCTCCATGCCAAAAACTAATACATTAGTTAAATTAATTGTTTTTTAAAAAAAAAGACTTATAATAGTTACTAATTTGATGTGGTCGTCTAATTTTTTTTTTTTTTTTTTGGGGGGGACATAAAAACTCCCAAATAACAATGATGTAGACGAAATTTAATCTCAAGTTTTAAGTATCACCTAAAAAAAACTAGTTAGCATTCTTTTAATATTGCAACATGGTGAAATGCTCAAATTTTTTAGGAGAAATCATAAGTTTATCAAATGGCAAAATTGTAAATAAATCAAAAACTTTTTTATTAAAAATGGACCCTACAATAATTGATTTATTGACAATCATGCCATGACAGCTAGAATTGGACCTTACAATAGTTGATTTATTTACAAAAATGTCATGATGACTAGGCAAAATTGTTGATTTATTTACAGTTTTGTCGTTTGATAATATAAACTGAGGCTTCCTCTTTTTTAAGTAAAAAAAAAGGACAAAAAGGCAAATTTACCAATAAATTAATCCAAATTATTGCAAACATTAACAAAAGCAACATATATAAAAAAGGATAGATTTGGAATTTATAGCATAAAACATTTGATTTCTTTAAATGGGTATGATTCAATATCTTTTAAAATCTTCTAAAAACATACGAGTATACGTTGCAGTATTAAATTTCCATGAAAAAAAAAATCTAAAATAGTTCTATAGTTCAAGTAAAACATCTGCAATGTTCAATCCTATTGTTTTTAGTAGTTGGTATTGACTGTAACCAAACTTAAGATACATGATGACTTAGCCTTCTATCCAACATTCAACAACTCATCATTCAACAATATACTCCGTAATAAAAACAATAACTTAAACGTGCCATTATATTCATCAGAACTGGCCAATCATTTTGTCCCAATTTTCAACACTACAAGAAAACAGCAAAATTCCGACGGAATTTTCCCGTCGGAAACATAGGAAAATCCGTCGGAATCAAGCCTTCCGACGGAATTCCGTCAGAAGTAGTCTGTCGGAGCACCTCTTGTCGGAAATTTGGCCTTTTCCGGCGGAAATTCCGTTCCGTTGGAAGAGGTGGTTCCGACGGAATTTCCGACGAATCTAATTCTGTCGGCGCCGATTTTGACTTTAATTGAAATTCCGTCGCAATTTTCCGACGGAAAATTCCATCGGAGGTTGATTAGGTTCCGACGGAATTTTCCGTCGGAAGAGGAAAATTCCGACGGAATTTTTCGTCGGAAGAGGAAAATTCCGACGGAATATTCCATCGGAAAAGGAATATTCCAACGGAATATTCCGTCGGAAATGTCAATTAAAAAAAATAAATAAAAAAAAACCAGCCCCTCACCCTGCCCAGACCACCCCCACCCTAACCCAGACACACCCTAACCACCCCACCCTAACCCACGCATAACCACCCACCCTAACCACCCCACCCCTTTACCCAGACCCATCCTAACCCCTTACCCACAAAATCACCAGCCCCAACCCAGACCAGACCAGACCCCCCACCCCCAAACCCAGACCCGACCAAACTTCCCCACCCACCATAACCAAACGTACCCCACCTACCCTAACCAACCACCTAACCCACCCACACTGACCAACCACCTAACCCACCCGCCCTGACCAACCACCTAACCCAAATACAAAAAAAATACGAAAAAATACGATAAAAACAAGAAAATACGGAAAAAAAAAAAAAAAAAAAAAAGCAAATCGGAAACGCCAAATCTACCTAGATCCAGCCCCAATTCCCTTACCAAAAATCAAAACAACCACAAATCGAAACAACCATAAATCGAAAAAAATAAACAAAATAAAATTGAAATCAAACAAATTAAATAAATATACAATTATCATCTGAAATTAATAAAATAAAATTACAATTATAACAAATTTAATTATAATCAAAATTGTTTTTTTTTAGTACAGTTGTTATTGTCGTTGCTGCTGGGGCTGGTATTGTTGTTGTCGTTGCGGTGGTTTTCACGCTACTGGGTTGGTTGTTGTCGCTGCGCGGTGGCCGGAACGGTGTGGTTGTTGTTGTCGCCGTTGAAAATGAGGAGATCGAAATGGTGTGGAATGGTGTGGCTTGAATTGAAGGAGGAGATCGAAAAAGGAGGACATCAAAGAAGGAGAATGAGAGGAGAAGGAGAAGGAGAATTCCGGGAGAAAGGAGAAGAGAGGAGAGAGAAAGAGAAGAAGAGAGGAAAGAGAAGGAGAAGAGAGGCGTTGGGGAGGAGGAGAAGAGAAACAAGAAATATAAGGGCGGGTCCGGGTATTTTTTAGGGTTTTGTAGGGTTAGGTTTTTTTTTATTATTTAATTAAATTTTTCGACGGAATATTCCGTCGGAAATTTCCGATGGATTTTATTTTCGCCGGAAATTTAATGTATCGACGGAAAAATCCGTAGGAAGTTTCCGACGAATTTTATTTCCGTCGAAACATTAAATTTCCAACGAATTATTCCGTCGGACAGCCCATAAATTCAGACGGATTTTTATTCCGTAGGAAATCCGACGGAAATTTCCGACGAAATTTATTCCGCCGGAATTTACTGAATTTCCTACTGAATTCCTGTCTCCGCGTTTTACAATTTCTTACATTCATGGAGATATATACCCGAGAAAGAGAAGCCGTTTCAGTTGGATTCAAAAGATTTCCTAGAAGATATCCCCCCTAAAGATGGGTGTTGTACACAAGATATGACAGAGTTTGCTCTCAATCAAGTGAAACTTCTCGGGTTTGAATCAGGGTGGATTTATAACACCTCAAGAATTTTAGAAGGTAGATATGTTCAACTATCGGAGAGGCTATCTACAACAAATTCACAAATAAATCACTTTGCCTTAGGACCTTTTAACCCGGTGAAAATCAAAAGTGAAAGCATGAAAAATAGACACCAATGCCTTCATTGGCTAGACAAACAAGAGAAGGATTCGGTGATATACGTGTCTTTTGGGTCGACAACATCTCTGACGGATGATCAGATCACAGAGTTGGCAAACGGGTTGGAAAGATGCGGAGAGAAGTTTATATGGGTGCTTAGAAGAGCGGATCCAAACGACGTTTTTGCAGAAGCTGATAAAGTAAAGAAGCCTCAACTTCATGCAGATTATGAAGAAAGAGTAAAAGACAGGGGAATAATAGTAAGAGATTGGGCACCGCAGCTAGAAATCTTGGCTCATACATCATTTGGCGGGTTCATGAGTCATTGTGGATGGAATTCTTGTATGGAAAGTGTAAGTATGGGCGTGCCGATTCTGGCCTGGCCTATGCATTCTGATCAACCAAAGAATGCGTTTTTGATTAGCAATGTGCTTAGAATTGGTGTAATGGTGAGAGATTGGGAACACCGCGGTGAGATTGTAAAATCAATTACGATAGAGAATGCAGTGAAGACATTGATGGCATCACAAGAAGGAAAGGAGATAAAGATGAGAGCAGCAAATGTAGGAGAAGCTGTGAGAGGATCAGTTGCTGAAGGTGGTGCTTCCAGTTCAGAAAGGGATGCCTTCATTTCCCATATCTCTAGATAGTTCTACCTTGTAGCAGCCTTGTTTCCATTGCACATTTTCTTTTTCTCAATTCAAGATTGTATTTTTTTTTTCCAGTATTGTTACATTCCAAATAAATTGTTTTAACAAATTGTTGTAACGATGTTCCTAGACCTCACAACTAGCTATTCTGTGTCTTGTTAAAAAAAACATCTTGACATTTTTAATTATAAGGAATGGGACAATGAGACTATTTTTTCTATCAAAAGGAACCGTTTTGAAAAATATATACCACCTCCGTTTCTTATTATGAAAAATTGCAAATAATAATTTGGCTCATTCTTTTTTAATAATACAACCTTTGAATTATACATCAACATTACAACCTTTGGGGAATGTTCATTTTAAACATGCAGAAACCGATTGGTAACCTTTGGGGAGTTAGTTAAATTGCAGGTTACCATGACACGTGTCGTCATGTAATTGGTTACCATGACACGTGTCGTCATAAAACGATGATAATCTGTAAAAGCGGGTTACCAATTGATTTTTGTCTATTTAAAATAAACACCTCCTAAAGGTTGTAATATTAATGCATAATCCAAAGATTGTATTATTTTTTTCGCAATTTTTCCTTCTTATTAGTGCAACAAAAGAATATTTTATGTCTCATAAATAATACCCCTTTGTTGCACATAATAAGAAATGGAGGTAGTATAACCGGAGCCAACATGGACACATGAGGATATACTTGTGGTTTGAAGACAATCCATGTGATAGAAAGAGAAGCATTTTCAAGTTTTCATCAAATAGAGACAATACCACATAAAAATGGCAGGACAGTAATGTAGGAATTGTTAAGAAAATAATGCAAATTTTCTATTTAATCAAATTTGAGGGAGAAATAAATTACATAAACAAAATATCTATTTATACCAAAGTGCAAAAAACACAACCCCTCTTTTCTCTGAGTTATTTTTCTTCTCTCAGATTTTCTCTTGAAAATTATTACATACAAATGAAGGAAATGCTCAATTTATAGTTTTCCTAAAACAACCTAAGCCATTTAAAATTTAGCCTGCAATATTTATTACCATTAGTTATTTTTCCCTATATTTGGAAACACCTTTAATTTTCAATGGTAATGCATGGTTATTTAATAACCATTTATTTTTTTTTCTTTATGTTTCTTAATTATCTGCCAACAATCTCCCACTTGAAGACTGATTTCAATCTGTCTTCACACCAAGGAGTAGAACCTCAACTAGTCTTCTGTCATTTTAAGACCAATTGATGTTGAGCACAATTTCAACTTGTCAATCGTCACTGTTTTCGTTAACATGTATGCTGGATTCTTACTGCCAAGAATCTTTTTAAGAGTTAACACTTCATCTTCTAGAAGAGACCTGATAAAGTGATAACGAATACCGATGTGCTTTGTTCTTGAGTGAAACGCCAAATTCTTTGCTAAATGTATAGCACTCTGACTATCGCTATACAAAATATTATTCACTTGTTTGAACCCCAGCTCATCTAACAAACCTTGAAGCCATGTCATCTCTTTACTAGCTTCGGTCACTGCCACATACTCAGCTTCTGTAGTGGATAAAGAAACAATCTTTTGTAGTTGGGACATCCAACTTACGGCTGTATTTCCAACTGTAAATACATAACCCGTTGTGTTCTTTCTATTATCGACTTCACCGCCAAAGTCTGCATCAACGTAACCTTGTATTTTCAATTCACCTTTACCAAAGTACAAACACTTATTAATTGTACCTCGTAAATACCTCAAAATCCATTTAACAGCTTCCCAATGGACTTTTCCTGGATTGGACATAAACCTGCTTACAACTCCCACTGCATGTCCAATATCTGGTCTTGTACAAACCATTGCATACATCAAACTTCCAATAGCCGAGGCATAAGGAACCTTGGCCATATATTCTTTATCTTCATCTGTCTGAGGGGACTGATCCTTTGATAGACGAAAATGACTCGCCAACGGTGTACTAACAGGCTTAGCATTACCCATATTAAATCTCTGAAGAACACGTTTGATGTACTCTGATTGTGATAACTGCAAAGTGCCTCTCTTGTGATTTGCATTCCTAAAATCTTCTTTGCTGGACCCAAGTCCTTCATGTCAAATTCCTTTGACAATTGATGCTTCAACTTTATAATATCATTCATATCAGAACCTGCTATTAACATATCATCAACATAAAGTAATAGGATGATATAACTGGATTGATATCTCTTGAAGTAGCAACAGTGGTCAGCGTTGTACTTCTGGAAATCTTCCTTGTGCATGAAGTTATCAAACTTTTTGTACCATTGTCTTGGGGCTTGTTTTAGCCCGTATAAACTTTTCTTAAGTTTGCATACCATCTGCTCTTTCCCACTTTTTATGAAACCTTCTGGCTGGTGCATGTATATTTCTTCATCAAGATCTCCATGAAGAAATGCAGTCTTCACATCTAACTGCTCGAGATAAAGATCTTCAATTGCAACAATACTCAACACTGTTCTAATGGTATTGAGTTTCACAACAGGAGCGAATATCTCATTATAATCAACTCCTTCTTTCTGTTGAAAACCTTTGACAACTAGTCGAGCCTTATACCTCTTGGAATCACCGTGCTCCTTTTTTGCTCGATATATCCATTTGTTATGAAGGGCCTTCTTACCTATGGGTAACTCAGTTAGTTCCCATGTCTGGTTTGAAATCAGGGATTGCATTTCATCTTTCATTGCAAGCCCCCACTTGCTAGCATCTCTGGTCTGGGATGCTTCATAATAATCTTCTGGTTCCCCATCATCAGTTAATAACAAATAATTCATATATTTTCTAGTAGGCACATGTGGTCGAGTACTCCTTCTTAGTGTAGGAGTTGGACAAGAAGGTTGTTGTATGTCATTTGATTGCGATATACTGCCCTGTACAGTTTGTTCTTCTTGTTGCGGAGTACTTATGATAGTGTACTCTTGCATCGTACTGTCTGGGACATAATCTTCATCAATGAATGTAGATTCTTTTTGATTTGTTTCATAACTCTCAATTTTATGCCTATCTTTGTACATGACTCTCTCATTGAAAATTACATCTCTTGAACGAATAATCTTTTTGCTTTCATCATCCCAAATGCGGTATCCGAACTCATCTTCACCATAACCGATAAAAGTGCAAACTTTTGATTTAGGATCAAGCTTATTTCTTCCTTGATCACTAATGTGCACATAAGCTACACAACCAAATACCTTTAAGTGCGACAATTTGATCTCTTTACCACTCCATACCTCCTCTGGTAATTTGTACTCCAATGGGGTTGATGGTCCTCGATTGATCAAGTAAGCTGTTGTATTGACTGCTTCTGCCCAGAATTGTTTTGGTAGACCTGACTGTATACGAATGCTTCTGGCTCTTTCTATCAATGTTCGGTTCATCCGCTCAGCTATGCCATTATGCTGAGGCGTACCTGGCACAGTTCTTTCCATCTTAATACCATGCTCGTAGCAAAACTTCTTGAATTTGGTGTCCTCATATTCTCCGCCATTGTCGGACCTAAATCTTTTGATCTTCAGACCTGTTTCATTTTCAACCCTAGTTTTCCATATCCTGAAAACTTCAAACACTTCAGACTTGTATTTTAGAAAGTAAACCCATACTTTCCTAGAGTGATCATCAATAAAAGTCACAAAGTACTGTTTTCCACCTATAGACTGGGTGGTTGTTGGTCCCCACACAACAGAATGAACAAGCTCCAATTTTTCTTTCATTGGAGTTCTTCCATATGTCTGAAAGCTTACCCTCTTCTGCTTTCCAAGTATGCATTCTTCACACATGTCTAAATTCACAGATTTTAGACTAGGGAGTTTTCCAATTGAATGCATGATCTTCATTCCTTTCTCACTCATGTGACCAAGTCTTTGGTGCCATAACTTGGAATTTTCATTCTTTGTTGCAACTGCAATCGAATAACATGCTCCAGCTGTCAAATAGAGAGTACCATTCTTTTTACCATGAGAAACTATCATTGCTCCCTTTGAAATCTTCCAATTATCACCTTGAAAGATTATAGTGTAACCTTCACGAGCCAACTGCCCAACTGAGATCAAGTTCTTTCTTAGGTCGGGAACATGTTTGACATCATTCAGCTCCCAAGCTGACCCATTTAACTTAATTTTGACATTACCTTGACCAACAATATCACAAGGTTGGTCATCACCAAGGTATACCTGTCCAAGGTTTCTATGGACATACTTCTCAAAAAAGTTTTTATTAGAAGTAGCATGGAACGATGCTCCAGAGTCTAATACCCAAGACTCTTCTTTGCTCTCCAATGAGCATATCAACGCATCATCACCTTCTCCGGTAGAAGTGACATTTGCCTCTGCCTTCACTTCTTTGCCTTTTGGTGTTCCCTTGCACTGATTTTTATAGTGCCCAATCTTTCCACAATTCCAACACTCCACAGTCTTTGAGTTTTGGAAATTATTTGGATTCCTGGATTTTGACCTCCTGTCTCTGGATTGTCCTCGATAGTTTGATCTTCCGCGTTCATTCCTTCTGATTAAATTTCTTCCTCTTGACTCTGTATGCAATACTGAAGAGGATGAAGATTCACCTGATTCTCTTCGTCGAATCTCCTCACTAAGAACCAGATCACGAACGTCATCAAACTTCAACTTGTTATTTCCCGATGAGCTACTCACAGCTGTGACTGTAGCATTCCAACTATCTGGCAGGGAAGATAAAAGTATTAACGCTAATACTTCATCATCAAATTTGATTTCAACAGAACTCAATTGGGTTGTGACAGAATTGAGTTCATTAAGGTGTTGAGCTACCGATCCACCTTCCGACATCCTCAAACTAAACAACCGCCTCATCAAATGAACTTTATTGGAGGCTGATGGCTTCTCATACATATTAGAGAGAGCTTTCATGAGACCTGCCGTTGTGGTTTCCTTTGCAATGTTAAACGCCACATTGCGTGATAACGTCAATCGAATAACTCCGAGTGCTTGTCTATCTAAAAGCTTCCATTCTGCTTCTTGTATGCCATCTGGCTTTTTCTCTTCCAGAGGTTGATAGAGTTTTTTCTGGTATAAATAATCTTCAATCTGCATTTTTCAAAATCCGAAATCTTTACCATCGAATTTTTCAAGTTTAACTTCTCCTTTGTCTGCAGCCATTTCTCCCACTCAAATTTGACTTTTTCTTTTAGGATCGTTTTTATTTTTATCGTAATGTGGACTAATTGTCAACCAAGCTCTTGATACCAATTGTTAAGAAAATAATGCAAATTTTCTATTTAATCAAATTTGAGGGAGAAATAAATTACATAAACAAAATGTCTATTTATACCAAAGTGCAAAAAACACAACCCCTCTTTTCTCTGAGTTATTTTTCTTCTCTCAAATTTTCTCTTGAAAATTATTACATACAAATGAAGGAAATGCTCAATTTATAGTTTTCCTAAAACAACCTAAGCCATTTAAAATTTAGCCTGTAATATTTATTACCATTAGTTATTTTTCCCTATATTTGGAAACACCTTTAATTTTCAATGGTAATGCATGGTTATTTAATAACCATTTATTTTTTTTCTTTATGTTTCTTAATTATCTGCCAACAGGAATGATCGATAACCCCACTCGAGGCTCTCGTGGTGTATAATTGGTGGCGAAAATAGCTACTAGCTGACAAGTTACAGGGTTATCATTTATAAAACATGTCTAATCTTTTTCAACTGAAATAATTGAATGGTACGGAGTATGAGTTAGGATATGCTGATACTTTACCTCTGTTCTGGCTGTATGGCAGTGTATGCGGTCTAGCCTTAGCATTTCTTACATCCACAATATTTGTTTTGGAAAGAGGAAACAGACAGATTTGAGCAAGCAGGTTTCACTTAGTAAAGACAATCATTAAACACAGGTAAATAGTATATTCCACAATAATCAACGGGAAATATGATGTCCCAATAACTTACTGCCAGTAAGGCAATAATGCATGACTGACACTTCAGACAGTATGCCTGATCTTAAGGCCTTCTTTACAGCAGATACTATACAGAATTACGGAGTACTAATGTTCAATTACGAATATTATTATGATTTGATCTTAATAGATTCGTATTAATATTGACTTTTAAATATGTAATTTTTATAATTTTTTAATTACAAAAATAAAGATATTTAACAAAAATTAAATATAAATAAGAAAATTTAATATAGTCTAATCTAATCTGAATTAATTTGATACAAACTTAAATATGGAGTTAGTTAAATTGATGATAGCCTATAAACACATTTGTAATTATCATAATTTTATACTCTGTATCCAAAGTAGCAATAATACATAGTAGTAGTTATAATTTAGTGGTCAAAAAGTCATACTCATCTTCAACGATCTAAATCTACATAACTCCCTGCCAAGTTCCCACCCCAACTAACAATGGAAGGCCAGACTTGCTATAAAGACTCCAAAGTGGCAGTTCTGATGGTGCCATTTCCGGCACAAGGCCACCTTAATCAACTCCTGCATCTCTCAAATCTCATTACTTCTTATGGAATACCTGTACACTATGCTGGATCCTCGGTCCACAATCGTCAAGCCAAACTTCGCCTCCATGGCTGGAACGCGGAGATTTTGAGTAAAATCCATTTCCATGACTTCAATCTTCCTCCTTACAGCTCCCCTCCTCCAAAACCAGACCCTGCCGTCCATTTCCCTACACACCTTCTACCGCTTTTCGATGCTTCTGAGCATCTCCATGAGCCTGTTTCCCAACTCTTACAGCAACTGTCAAGCAAGTTCAGGAGAGTGATCGTGATTCATGATTGCCTAATGGCTTCTGTGGTACAAGATGTGAGAGATATACCAAATGCTGAACTTTATGCTTTTATTCCTATCTCTGCATTTACTCCTTTCTTCAATTCTTGGGACAAAATGCCACAGAAACCTTTTACATTAGATTCAAATGTACCAAAAGGCATTCAGTCCACGGAAGGGGGTTTAACGCCCAGGGTTACAAGTTTTATAGTCAATCAACGAGATCATTTGGGGTTCGAGTCTGGAAGGATTTACAACACGTCAAGGGTGATAGAGGATGAATATATTGAATTACTAATGAAGCTGCCATGAAAAGCTGATATGAAACACTTTGCAGTTGGACCTTTGAATCCAGTGGAAACAGAAAGCAAAAATGAGAAGCATAGACATATATGCCTGGAATGGCTAGACAAACAGAGAAAGATTCAGTGATATATATCTCTTTTGGATCTACAACCTCGATAACAGATGAACAGATCACAGAGTTGGCGTTGGGATTGGAAAGAAGCAGACAAAAGTTTATATGGGTGCTTAGAAAGGCTGATACTGGATATGTTTTTACAGGTGATGAAGTAAAAATGCCTCAGCTGCCCGAAGGGTATGAAGGAAGAATGAAACACAACGGAATTGTGGTAAGAGACTGGGCACCCCAGTTACAGATACTAGCACATCCATCTATAGGTGGGTTCATGAGTCACTGTGGGTGGAACTCGTGCATGGAGAGCATCAGCATGGGAGTGCCAATGGCAGCATGGCCTATGCATTCCGACCAACCAAGGAACGCCGTTTTGGTGACAGAGGTTCTAAGAATGGGTACTCAGGTGAGGGATTGGGCACACCATGCTGAGCTGGTGGCATCAACTACTATAGAGAATGCTTTAAGAAGACTGATGGCATCAGAAGAAGGGGAGGAGATGCGGAGAAGGGCAGCAGAGCTAGGTGAAGCTGTTCGAGCATCAGTTATCAAAGGAGGCACTTCTCTCTTAGAAATGGATTCTTTCATTTCTCATGTAACCAGATAACAAAAATCTGTTAAGAGTAATACAGGGCCAAAATTAGTAAACAAAGGAATAGAGATTGACTTGAGTCCAGAAGGCTCTTCAACAAATTATGCTCTTATCTTATCTTAATTACAGAAATTTACCATTTAAACATTACTGTTAGTGAATCTCTTGTTCATAAACTCACATGAATCTGTGCTTCATAATAAGCAGGCACTAAGCTTGTCTATGGTTCCTTAATCCTACTACTATGATCTCCGTGTTCGGCATTGTAATTTCCATGCACTAAAATTTATAGGCACAGTCACCTGCCTCCAGGCCTCTAGATCATGACTATACCCTAAGAAAAATCAGAAAGCAAACTTGAATTAAGAGTTCTTACAAACAGAAGCAGGTTGTAATAAGAGTTTCAAACTTCAAACTTGCAAAATTAACGCTACTAGAAAATATTCATACTGCTTGAAAAAATACCAACTTAGATGTGCAAGAAGCAAAATGGCCCTCAACTAATACCCCCTTTGGTCATGTATGACTTACTATGACACTTAACACGAATACAAAGATATCAATAGACAAAGTCACAAATAAAATGTTATAAAATCTAATCTTAACATGCATCTTACTGCTAGGGACCATGACGCAGCTAGTGATGTAAGAATTGAGGCAGCATTAAGTTCCTGCTAAAATAACATTAAACAAAGTTTGCTTTGTGCGTACGACAAGTAACCATAATTTAATAGAGTTTTTTCTACTTGTCAAGAATACTATAAAAATCACAATTCTTCCTATACTCTACCTCAAAACTTGACCCCAAATGGAAGACCAATATTGCAGTAAAATAGGCAACCAAGATGAAGTACAACACCCTCAAGTGGCTGTGGTGATGGTACCATTTCCAGCCCAAGGCCATTTGAACCAGCTCCTCCATCTCTCTCATCTCGTAACCTCCTACGGGTTACCAGTTCATTATGCTGGATCTGCCTGCCACAACCAGCAAGTGAAGCTCCGACTCCATGGTCGGAACTCTGAAACTTTAAATAAGATCCATTTCCATGACTTCCAAATCCCTCTTAGTTCACCCCCTCCCAATCCCGACCCCTCTATCCTTTTCCCCACTAACCTTGAACCACTATTCGATGCTTCTACACATCTCCGTCAACCTGTTTCCCAACTCTTACAAGAACTCTCTACAAAGTCCAGGAGAATCATCATCATTTTTGATAGTCTAATGACTTCTGTGATCCAAGATGTAAAATTCATCCCAAATGCTGAATCCTATGTCTTCTTTCCCGTCTCTGCCTTTATCATGTTCTTAAATATCTGGGAAGAAATACCCGAAAAGCCTTTTCAGCTAGATTTTGATGTCCCAGAATGCATACCCTCAAATGAAGGGTGCTTGACGCCAAAGGTTTTTAATTTCATAGTCAATCAACAACTACTTTTGGGGTTTGAGGCAGGAATACTATACAACACATCAAGGCTGATAGAAGGTAGATTTGTTCAACTATTGGAGAGGCTATCAATAAACCCTGAAACAAAGCACTTTTCTGTTGGACCTTTGAATCCAGTGGAAAAAGAAAGCAAAAATGATAGTCATATATGCCTACAATGGCTAAACAAACAAGAGGCAGGTTCGGTGATATATATCTCTTTTGGATCAACAACCTCGATGACTGATGAGCAAATCACGGAGTTGGCAATAGGTTTGGAAAGAAGCGGACAAAAGTTTATATGGGTACTCAGAAGAGCCGATACAGCTGACATATTTTCCAGCAATGAAGTGAGAAATCCTCTGTTACCGGAAGGGTATGAAGGGAGACTGAAAAATAGGGGAATGGTGGTAAGAGACTGGGTACCCCAACTGCAAATTCTAGCACATCCATCCATAGGCGGTTTCATGAGTCACTGCGGGTGGAACTCATGCATGGAGAGCATCAGCATGGGTGTGCCAATGGCAGCTTGGCCCATGCACTCCGATCAACCCAGGAATGCCGTTTTGGTGACAGAAGTGCTAAAGATTGGTACACTGGTGAGGGATTGGGCTAACCGTGCTGACCTAGTGACGTCAGATACTATAGAGAATGCATTGAACAGAATGATGACATCAGAGGAAGGAAAGGAGATGCGAAAAAGGGCTGCAGAACTGGGTGATGCTGTCCGAGCATCAGTTGCTGAGGGTGGTGCTTCTCGTGTAGAAATGGATTCTTTCATTAGTCATGTCACCAGATGAAGATATGCAGATTTCTCTCTTAAAAAGTGGTCCTTTCACAAAGAATCTTAGTTGCTTTGAGTCCAGAAGGATCAACATCCAGTTGTGTTGTAGTGTCTTATACTTCGTACTATTCACATGTTCTGCTTATCTATTCTCAAACTATTTGCATCATTTTATCATAAGTACGCAAGCATTCTTAAGTTTTCCAATAGTTCCTATTCCAATCACAATTGTGTTCAACGTGGGGAAATACTACAAGACTCACCAGATACCAATCAACTATTTCCCTTTTTCTGAGCACTTTTATCCATTTTTCAGAGCTTCTATGCATCATTGCAAGCCTGTTTCTCAGCTCTTACAGCACCTCTCACCTATGTATAAGAGAATAGTTGTTATTAATAACATTGCGTATGCTTTTGTGGACCAAGATGTAAAGTTTATCCCCAATTACTGAACCCTGTAGTTTATTTCCCATTTCCAACTTTACCCTTTTCTTGACTTTTGCGGCATAGTATAGCATTCCTTGACAATGTCCAATTCCCTTGGAGCATGTAAAACTTTACTAGTTAGAACACACGTAAGTGTTAAGGAAGCACAATACTCCCTCCGTCCCTTATTTTTGCCCCATAAAGATGAAGTTGCTTTTTAATATTTGGTTGGAGAGAGTTGACGAGAGAAAAAAAATGGTGGGACTAAAATAGTTAGTATAAGAGCAAAGTAGTGGTCCCATGTAACCATTTATGGTATAGGGCAAACTTAAAAGGACGGATCAAAAAGGAAATTGGGCTAACATTTAGCGACAGAAAGAGTATAAATTCGTAAACATAAAGGGTGTAAAAATTAGATAAATAAATAAAAAGAAAAGGACAGGAGGGAGTATTGTGCTTCCTAAACACTTACTCCATGTTGCAAATAAAAATATAAATTAACTAAACCTAATTTAAACAGAACATACTTTTTCCTGGAAATAAAAACAGAACATACTTCTTGAAACAGGAACAGCTTAGACGTGCAGGAAGCAAAGTGGCCCTCAGCTAATGCCTTTTGATCATCTATGAATTACTATGATAATAAGCATAGAATACAAGGATTGGCACTTTCCTACAACGAAAAGCGAAGCATAAGACAACTTCAACCTGCAACCGTAGAGAAATCACATATCAGCAGACATAGTAGGGTTGCCCAAACTAGATATCCGATCCAAAAAATAATCCCACCTTCTGATTATTTTTTAATAATCTCAACTTTATGCTCTATCCGCCCAAAACAGTCCCGACCGGTCATCTAACTTGTTATTGCAAGTTACCGGACACATATCATCCTACAATTGGTTAAAAAAAAATTAAAAAAAAAAAAAAGAAATCCTTGTTTAAGGAAGACAGACCACCGAAAGCAATTGGACTATAGCAAGCACTGATCTGAACTGAAAAGTGTTCGAGTGTAATAGGGTTTAAGAAGAGAGAGATAAAGTCAGGAATTTTAGAATTAGTTAATTAATCTGTAAAGACATTTGTAAAGACAAGAGTCCTAATAGCTTAGTGGAAGAGCGTCAGTCTTGAAAATTGAAGGTCCGCAGATCGATTCTGTGTGTGGACTTTTTTTTTTTTTTTTTTTTTTTTTTTGTATATTCCCTTGTAAGACAATTATACGAGTAAACTTTAGGGAAGGAAAAATCATTTCATTAGCTAAATTTGTTCATATTTTTTTTTTTTTTAAGCAATCTATCATTTCACAATTTTTTGTGCGAATTGAGCAAATTTAAGTAAAATTTTGTTATCGTTAATAATCAACTACGAGTACTTCATATTTGAGCATAAGAACTATTTTGCTTACTCTTTTTGTTTTTATTTTTTTATTTCCTACCTTCCATTTTGATATGTTCTTTTTAAAATATTTATACTTTTGCTTTTATTATTAATTACTTGTGATAAAGAAATAACTCGCTTTTATATTTCTATATATACCCAACTACATGGTCCACATTTTCTTACTATATAGTAATAATATCAATGTCTCTAAATATTTCTCTTTTCTATCAAAAAAGTCAAAAGAGAAACTCACTTTCTATATTCCACTAACTCTCACTTTTTCAAGTTCAAAATTGCTAGTTTGCCATAGTAAATGTGAAGCTAAAAACAAAATAATTGTCCTTGGGTAGAGTTTAAAGGGAAGAGAAGGGCTGATGGCAGGAAGAGGGGTAGGGCGGCGCCGATCGTGGGTAGCTGGTCCGGCGCCGTCAAGGAGAGGGGGAGGGGGTGGCGCTGGCCGAAGGGCAGGTCTTGGGGCGATTGCTGCTGATGTGGTGGTGTTTTTATTTTTAATTAAGTATTTAATAATAATATTATTAATATTAATTATTTTTTAATTTTTGACCAATTATGTGGTGACACGTGTACATTAAACCTAAAAAATAAATTATCTATTTAACAGGTCACCGGTCACTTGGGACTGTTTTGAGCAGATGGAGTATAAAGTTGGGAGTACTAAAAAATAAGAATGATTTGCTAAATTGGTGTTAAAAAATAAAGAAATTACTAAAATAGTGTTCACTTTAAAATATTTCTCAAAGTAGTGTTCACTTAGAATTGAAACTCTAAACCTAATTTTTATTGCTTCGTATTTAAAGTCTCAATAAAAAAAATCATTGGAGTCTCAAAACTATTCTCTAAGTGTTTTAATTCACCATTGATCCAAACGTTGATGTTTCATGTTACATATTTTTTTGACAACTTATATCCATAACAAATATGCTAGAAACGGACTACAACAATCTATTCACTTATTTGAAGCAGGGGAAGCGAGAAATGTCTAGCTTTTGCCGTATCATTGTTAGGGACATCCTTAAGCTACTTGTTTTGTGCTCCTTCATTGATTACTCGCAACTCGCAACTCAGCAGATGTGGGACTGTGGCTGCCCACAAACTTGCTCGAAAATAGTAGAAACTATGAGGATTTGAGAGTTTGGGAGGAAGAGTATCCTTCTTGTATTAGCTATGCTATTTTGCTAGATATTTCTAGCTTAGCTTAATAAGAGCAACTTCAATGGCAAGCTAATTTGACATGTAGCTTGGCATGCCACATAAGCTTTTAAGCCAATTATCATGTACCTACTTTGAGCTCCAATGGCTAGCAATTAGCTTACAATTTAATTGAATCCCACCTCCTTAATTAACTTTTTATATTTCATTTTATTGATTATATATATATATATATATATATATATATATATATATATATATATATATATATATATTCTCCAAAGCTAATTTGCTTAACCAAGCTAATTGCATTTTCTAGCTCCAATGGTCAAACTACTAGCTAGGGATTATTTAATATTGCAAGCAAGTTCCTAGCTACAAGTCTACAACCATTAGAGTTGCTCTTATATTCTTGGTTACATGCTGTCAATAAAAAATGCAAGAAAGTTTTTAAACATTTATATTACTACATCATATTCATAAAATCCATAGTGCTTATATCCATTTTTACTATTAATAAAATACAAAAGCATTAATGATGAATTGATGAGGCTCAATGCTAAAAAAAATTAAGATATTGTAAGCATTATTTAAGATAAAAAAAATTTGATGTTTGACTCGATAAAGATATATCTTATGCATAAATGAAAGTTTGGTTTGAAGAAATCCCACCTATTGTAACCTCATGTTCTTCTTCATTAAGGTTTGAGTAATTAATTAAAACAACCCTTTTCGTGTCAAAAATAAAAAAAATAAAAAAAAAAGATTTGATGGTATACATATTTATTAGGATTTTATTAGAAAAAAGTTCTCTTCGATAATTTTTAATATATAACTTAGGTTCGTAATTTCCAAACCTATATGGACACCAAATTGAGAAATATTTTTAGGTGAACACTACTCTATTAATTTCTTTATTTTTCAACTCCACATTGGCAAATCGTTCAAAAAATAATCGAAAATTGAGATTATTTTAGGCGGACGAAACACAGTTAGGATTATTATTGGCAATTTTTCCTTTCTTTTTTGTACTTTTAACCTTAATTACCAACACTTTCTCTCTCTATCTCTTCAATTATTCCCAACTACTTTTTCTTTCTCTTTTAATTCCTGCATAAAAACCTAAAGAGGTATTGTATTATGAGACGAAGGGAGTAATAATAATAGTAATAAATTATAAAAACAAAGATGTGCATCGCAAGGGCTTCACACCTAGTATCAAATCTAAATTAAAAGAAATATAAGTACAATAACATTTTCTTCAAAAAAAAAATAAGTACAATAACATTAATAAGAAGCTATACAAAAATAATTAATTTAACATCTTATGTAAAAAGTAAAAAATAAACAAAATTACAAAAAGCTTAAATGAATCTAGTCCTTATGTGTAATGTATGCGGAGGGTTTTGCTTCTATTAATTAATTTTATTTTATTTTTTTAAAAAAAAAAAAAAGACATTTCGAATATTATAAAATTTTCAATTGAGATTCAAAACCAATCCGAAAGAGCATATCATACATTCTACACAAGTTTAGTAAAGCTTCAGGGCAACAATTAAATCTTCAGAAATCAGTAATTAAGTTTGCACCAGGGGTAGATGAGGACAGGAAATCCACAGTGAAACAAATTCTTGCTATGCCTGAGATGGGGAACATGGGGATACATCTGGGAGTCCCGATCGATATTCAGGGAAAGAAAAGCCCCCACTTCCAATTCTTAGTCGACAAGGTATCGACTAAAATTACGTCATGGGTCCACCTGCACATATCACAAGCAGCAAAACTTATCCTCATTAACACGGTACTGATCAGCATGTCGGCTCATATCATGAAGTGTTTGAAACTCCCTCTTAGCATAGCAAACAAGATTGATTCGTTGATTTCTCGGTTCTGGTGGTCTGGTAATGATAATAAGGGGTTGCATTGAACAGGAGGATTACGTTACCCAGCTGCCTAAAAGCATGGGAGGATTGGGAATTAGGGGCTCTACTAAGCTCAACGATGCTCTTCTCTTCAAACAGGCTACTAGGATGCATCCAAATCCACAGCTACTTCTCTCAAGAGTCCACACAGGATTTCAACCATGTGGGATATGCAGCATGGCTAGACCATATATCAGAAGAGGTACTCCGTCCCTGGGAAGGACAAGTCTTCAAAAAGCTTCTCAAGCATTCAAAAGGGGTTTCGCGTGGAAAGTAGGGAATGGGGAAAGTATTAATGCAATTAGTACGCCATGGGTGAAAGGGGAGATTCCTTTATTAAAATCGGGCCAAACTCTGGGGGCCGCTTCGATGTGGAAGGTTAGTGATTTTATAGACAGGGAAACGAACGAATGGAAGGTAGGAAAGATCAGGGAAAACTTCGATTGGGAGCGGGCGAAAGCAATTTTGTCAATGGAACTTCCGCTTTCCAATGAGGATGATTTTCCTTACTGAAAACACCACCCATCGGGAAGGTATACGGTCAAAACAGGGTACTACTATCTTTCCAAGAACCTGGGGCTAGATAGTGCCTCTTTCTTGGCAAAGGACCGGGAATTAGTGAAGCTAGTATGGAGAATGGATATCCAGCCAAAATGGAAGGTGTTCCTGTGGAAGCTATTTCATAATGGTATTGCCGTCAAGGAAAATCTGGCACACAGGGGTATTCCGGTTGAACCAGAGTGTGATCTCTGTAGAGAGGAAGAGGAAGACAGCCAGCATCTTTTCAGGTATTGTATTCAGGCAAAGGAAGTCTGGGAGACAGGTTCCCTAGACGTTTGCCCAGACTTTCTTAGGTCTATTCCGTTAAAAGAATGGATCCAGCACTATATCCTGCTCTTTTATAGCGAGGATGGTAAACAAGGAGCCCGATGTTCGCGGTTTATTGCGACTCTTTGGGGTATGTGGAAGGCTAGAAATGCCAGATGCTTCAAGGATTCGGCTGGAAGGAGTAACCTAGTGATGGAGTTTATAGATCTTAATACAAGATCATGAACACTTTTCCCATCGTGCTAGCATGATAACGGAGGAAGAGCCTATCAGAAGGGATGAAACCATCCTGCCTCCAGGTTTTAACTACGTCCATTTAGGAAGGGAGAAGACGGGGTTCGACGACTTCATTGTAGAAGCAGATGGCTCCTGGGATAAGAAGACTACGAGAGCAGGGATAGGCTGGGTAGTTAAGAGCAACACTCTAGGATTCGGGCTGGATGAGGGAGGAAAATACGGCGTTGCAGCATCTGTAATACAATGTGAAGCTTGGGCTTTTTGGAAGCAATGAAATGGGCTCGATCTAAAGGTAGGAATGGGATCCTTTTAATAACTGATTCATAATCCTTGTTGAACAACCTACAGGATTACCAAGGCAAGGAGGTCTCGATAACGTGGTTTCTTAAGGGGTTAAGAGAAGTGGGTGCCTTTCCGAAGATGCACCATCCTAAAAGTACAGAGAGATTAGGTTCAAAGGGCAAACGATATTGCGAGAAAATGTCGGGTCAAGCTTATGAATTTGATGTAATGCTGTTTGTTTGCTTTCGCTCTTGTAAAAAAAAAAAAAAAAAAAAAAAAAAAAAAGAATAAAGCTGGATCAGATTTATTTGACCACCCGCCAGCAGACAAGATCACAAATAAAATGATACAAATACAATTGTATGTAACATGCTTAAATGCATCTTATTGCTTACTGCATCATGGCGAAATTAGGGAATAAAGAATTGAGCCGGCATCAAGTTGCAGATAAAATAAACATTAAACAAATCCTGCTGACAAGTAAACATAATTTAATGAAGTTTTTTCTATCTATCAAGAGTAGTATAAAAACCACAGTTCTTCCTACACTCACGCAACCCCATAATGGAAGGCCAAAATTGTAATAAAAAATCACAGCAAAATGAAATACAACACCCTCAAGTGGCAGTGTTGATGGTACCCTTTCCTGCCCAAGGTCATTTGAACCAGCTTCTCCATCTTGCTCATCTCATTACTTCCTATGGTTTACCAGTTCATTATGCTGGATCTGCCAGCCACAACCACCAAGCGAAGCTCCGACTGCATGGTTGGGAATCTGAAACTTTAAGTAAAATCCATTTCCATGACTTCCAAATCCCACCTTATAGCTCACCTCCTCCCAATCCCGACCCCTCCACCTTTTTCCCTGCGAACGCTGAACCACTATTCGATGCCTGTATGCATCTCCGTCAACCTATTTCCCAACTTCTGCAAGAACTCTCTACAAAGTTCAGGAGAAGCATTGTCATTTTTGATAGCCTAATGACTTCTGTGATCCAAGATGTAAAAAACATCCCAAAAGCTGAATCGTATGTCTTCTTTCCCATCTCTGCCTTTACCATTTTCTTTAATACCTGGGAAAAAATACCTGAAAAACCTTTTCAGCTAGACTTTGAAGTCCCAAAATGCATTCCTTCAAATGAAGGGTGCTTGCCGCCAAAGGTTTTAAACTTCATAGTCCAACAATATCTACTTTTGGGGTTTGAGGCTGGAGCACTTTTCAACACATCAAGGCTGATAGAAGGTAGATATGTCCAACTATTGGAGAAGCTGTCAATAGACCCTGAGGCAAAGTACTTTTCTGTTGGACCTTTGAATCCAGTGGAAAAGGATAGCAAGATTGATAGACATATATGCTTACTATGGCTAGACAAACAAGAGACAGATTCAGTGATATATGTCTCTTTTGGATCATCAACCTCAATGACTGATGAGCAGATCACGGAGCTGGCGCTAGGCTTGGAAAGAAGCGGACAAAAGTTTGTATGGGTACTTAGAAGAGCGGATCCAGCAGACATATTTTCAGGTAGTGAAGTGAGAAATCCTCTACTGCCGGAAGGGTATGAAGAGAGAGTGAAAAATAGGGGAATGGTGATAAGAGACTGGGCACCCCAAGTGCAAATTCTAGCACATCCATCCGTAGGTGGGTTCATGAGTCACTGTGGATGGAACTCATGCATAGAGAGCATCAGCATGGGTGTGCCAATTGCAGCTTGGCCCATGCATTCCGATCAACCCAGGAATGCCATTTTGGTGACAGAGGTGCTAAGAATCGGTACACTGGTGAGAGATTGGACACACCGTGCTGACCTAGTGATGGCAACTACAATTGAGAATGCATTGAGAAGATTGATGACATCAGAAGATGGAAAGGAGATGCAAAAAAGGGCTGCAGAACTGGGTGATGTTGTCAGAGCATCAGTTGCTGAAGGTGGTACTTCTCGTGTAGAAATGGATTCTTTCATTATGCACATCACAAGATGATGACCTGCGGATCTCTCACTTAGATATTGACCGTTTCACGAGAATCTCAATTTGCTTTGAATCCAGAAGGCTCAATATGCCAAGTTGTGTAGTGGTATTTTGATATTTTCACAGTCCATGTACTGTGTTTTTGTCTGTATTCAACATTGTTAATTTCGTGTAATAAAATGCATGTTCAACACTGTTTCTAAACATGTAATGAAACAAAATTGTAGTCATCTTTTTCTAGATCACAAGATTCACAACAATACCAATGGAATTATCTCATTCAGAAAAGTTTATAAGAATTGAAATAGCTCAAGTAGAGGATACATCAAGTGAAATTGAATTCTCACAAACAAAAAGCAGTATTAGTTTAAATCAAAGGTCACCATGGGGGTGTCTTAGCTAGTTTATTAAAAGGAAGAGATGATGACAGTTTGATTAAATGCTGCACTTCTTGGACAGTAAGTCAATGAGGCTCAACAGAATGCTGATACAAATCATAAGCTAAATCCAAGCACAACACATCTGCGTCCTGGAAATTTATTTTGACTGAGGGGTTCACTAGGAGGGAGAAACGGTTTTAAATGTACTGAACTCTATTACTTTAATAAGCAAGCTAACTGAAGTCTGATGATTCCACTTCATTGTCACAAAATTAACTAACCTTCAAAATTAACTTATTTCAGAGAGATGAACAATAGCAAAACGAGATGTTTCCTTATTTCTGCCTTAAAATTAATCGTTACAGTCAAGTAAAAAGCTTCATAAGTTATGGCCTTAGAACTAAGTACTAAAGAAATACAAGAATATATCTAAACAAAGGGGCATAAAAGATACAGGTTTTTAACATGTTTTTTGACCTCCAAGCAACAAAAATAAGTATACTAAGATAACAAAAAGATTAGAATACCACAAGCATATAGAAACACAGAAAAAACTTCAAAATCGGATTTCAGAGTAGGTGAACCATACTACTTCCAAAGGATTTTAATCTAATTTCAAACCTCAAGCACTTCCTTAAGTTCTTAAGATGTTAAAATGGCATAGAGTTACAGCTAGAGTTGCTGTCTTGCTGAAGCAGCATATTTTTTAACGATTTAATTACATTAGATCAGTCCCTATAAACTTAAATCCACGCATCAAGAAATAGGAACTGTAAACAAACTTATAAGACAGAAGAAGCATACACAGTTTAATGTTGTTCCAAACGCCTCGAAGTAGAGACGACCTTGTTGATACTTGGAATCTTCATTATCTTCCCCTCAATTACCAATGTCAACACCTCAATAGTCAATACAGGTGTAGACACTCGACACTTCATTTTGAATCAAATTTGTAAACTATCCAACTCGACAATTGTCACCTGTATGATCAAGTGTTGACATGAGTAGTCGAGTCAAATAACAGTTTATCAAGTATCATGTTAACCTTTTAAGAGACAAGATTCACACTCAGGCTCACAACACATTGTGCTCTTAAGAATTATAGTTTTAAAACCCTCACAAATATGAGAAAATTTTCAATAATCATTTTATTATGAGTACTTCAAATTAAAGCAAAATTAAACAAATTCATGCCAAAAATGACAATTTTCTCTCATTTTTATAACCCTACTAAGTTAAAAAAATAGATAATTAACAAAAAGTATTAACTTCTCAAGAACAATGCACTTATGATCTTCTTCCAAAAAAAAAAAAAGGCATTTATGGTCAATTCACTAACCCGAGATGCAAACACTCGATTAAACAAGAAAATTGCTCAAAATACTGTGAATCTGTGACAAAGTTTGTGAAATCAAGGTTAAATTACTCAAATTGAAAAAACTATGAATGATGAAAATCAAAATGTAGCGGAAATTCTTCAAATTGAAAAAATAAATAGCAATCAAAATTACCGAAATTTACGGGAGCCACTGAATAAAACAAGTGTAGATTGTAGAAGCAGTTGTCTGAATTGCAGACCGCGGATATCGAATGATTAATTGTTGATGAACGATGATGAATACAGATTAACTATAACGGCTTCTTTCCCCTCAAAAAAAATAAATAAATAAATAAATAAATAAATAAATACAATGGCTTCTGTGTAGTAGCCTTGAAAATTTGAAATGGTGAGTATTGTTGCGCCAAAAGTAAACAAAGGAACAAGAAACATTCAAGTACTACTAATATACTAGTAAGTACGTATGGGACTAGGGGGCCTTTGGGAGTTTGGGGCAGTCAAAAACTGGCCCGTATCGGAAAAATTGGTTATAATAGATTGGGTTGAAGGAAATTAATCTCATCTTGGACGTTTTTTCAAAGTAAGACAAATTTATAAAATATTTACGAAAATGGATGTGTGGCAAAAGTATTTACCAAACTAAATTTCAGGGATAAAACGTTGTCTCAGACAGTGCTTTATATCTAGGTTTTTTTTACAAAAAAATTAATTTGTAAAACGCTGTCTGGGACAGCGCTTTACCTTTTGACTTTTTTTAAAAAAAAGTTTATAATTGTTTGGGGTAACTTTACCCCAGCCACGTGGCCCTATGGCTGAGCGACACGTGGCACCTTGCTATTGGTCAACAGGGCTCCAATCCCCTGTTGACACGTGTCCTAGGAGCCCTAAATGGGGAACCAATGCTCCCCACTATAAATAGTGGGAGCATCCTCATTAATGGGTATTCAATACATTCATAAATACACTTACACCAAAACCGAGCAATATTAATCGCGAAATTCTCCCATTACGCGAGAAGTAATTTCACTCTTTTACGCACTATCTTCCTCCTGTACATCACTGACTTGATCGTCGGAGGCGGAGCTCCACCCAACCGGAGTCTTCGTGGTTTTGCAGGTACAGGCGGCGGAAGGGCATTCTTAGAATTGTAACTCTCCCGCGGGACACATCAAAAAACCCCGAAACATTTGGCGCCGTCTGTGGGGAGAGTACTTCTGAGATGACTTCTAACCCTATACCACCAGATCAGGATAAGCGGCCATTGGCCGAGCCTGAGGTCCAGACGGACCATGAAAGCGGTGATGATTACGGACTGGACACCTATGTGGCCCCAGACGGGTCCTTCAGAACAAAGCACACCCGTTCCAGGGATAAGAAGGAACGGGATAACATCCAAGCTACTCCAAGCAACCCAGTCGGCAACCCGGTTGGAGCTGCACAGGCGGCAGAAGGCTTTGCTCCCGTCACAAGGAACGAACTCATGACCTTCATGAATAGTTTCAAAGGCGAAATCCAGAGCCTTATTCGGTCAGCTACTCCCAAGAAGAGTTAGCCGGCCAAGAAGCCTTCTAACAAGAAGGCAATCAAAGACCGGGTCCCTACCCCTCATCCAAAGCCAAAGGAGGGGGAGGGCCTCTGGTTCGATCAAAACCGGCTCCGCTTCCCGCAAGCAGAACCCAGAAAACCCATCCGGCACTTGCAACCGGATGGTTCAAAAAAGATATTCTCTGACGCCCGGACGTTTCTCCAAGAAAAGAGAAGTCTGGCGTCTGCGTCGGCTTCAACGTCGACCTTTCCAGACAGTTTTCGTGACACCTCTAACAGGTGTACGGGAACAAGTCTAGGGAGTCAGACGGGCAAACCATCCGCCCGGTCTGGACCCCAAGTGATCCAGCCAGGTCTATTTGGTTCGCCGAATGGGCTGGGTGGATCCCCTTTTACCCAAACGGGTCCGTTTGGCAGAAATATGTAGCAGCTGTTCCAGCTCATGGACTGGCAGCAGCGCCTGCTGAACTTGGGAGAGCAGCCCTCGGCGTTCTCCCCTGAGATAACCCAGGCGGCACAGCCGGCTAAGATTAAAAACGTGTTGGTAGGGGCCTATGATGGTACCTCCAACCCAGAAGATCATTTAATGGCCTATTCCAACCTCATGTACTTACAGGGGTTGGATGATGTCGTCTGGTGCCGATGCTTCCCGGCTACCCTGAAGGGCATTGCCCAACAGTGGTTTGGTAACTTGCCAGCCGGCTGCATCAACAGCTTTAAGACCTTGGCGTACTTATTTACGTCAAACTTCTCAATGAACATCCCGGCCAAAAAGACTAGCCTCGATCTGGGGGCAATACAGCAGGGTGACAGAGAAGGGCTCCGGTCGTATGTCAGGCGGTTCAATCTGATGAGAATTCAGATTCAAGGGCTGTCTGGCAAAGTTGCTTATACAGACTTCTTTAAGGGTCTGAAGGATGGGTCAACCTTCAAGTTCGACCTCGTCCGGAAAAGGGTAGCCACCCTCCAAGAGGGGTTGATGGAAGCTGAAGCCTATATACAGGCGACGGAGCTTTGTGCTGTAAAGCAGCCGTCAGATTCCAAAAAATCCGACAGAAGAGACAGCGGGCAACAGCAACAGCCGGCTAAAAAGGAAGAAAAGAAGAGAAAGGAGGTTTGGGCGGCAGACCGATCTGGTCAGCCGGCTCAGAAGCTCAGACAGAAATCTGAACCGTACGTTCCCAAGTACGAGTTCACAAAGGACTGCTCCTCCATCCTCAGGGAGATCAAGGACCGGATGTCTCTCTACAAGCCGGCTGTGATGAAAAGCCCCGTAGGCAGCCGGGACAAAAGCAAATACTGCCAGTACCATGAGGATGTTGGCCATGACACTAATGGTTGCTATAGCCTCAGGCGGCTATTAGACCGTCTGGCTGAGGAAGGGGCTCTGAAGTCTTATTTGCCCAAAGCCAAAGGTAACACCCTGGCCAAGAAAGGGCAGGCGGCAAAAGTTGTTCTTGCCAATTCAGAAACGGATGAAGAGACCATCTTCACAATAGCAGGCGGCTTTGCCCGAGGGGGTCCCACTATCAGGGGCACCAAAGATAACATCAGGAAGCTGGTTAACTCAGTTGAGGAGAGCCAGGCGTCAAAAGACATCTTTCCTGAGGTCCTTATTTCTGAAAAGGACCGAGGCAAGGTCAGGCGGCCCCACGATGACCCCATAGTCATCGAATGCAAAGTTGCCAATCAGAGGGTTGGCCGGATCTTAATAGATACCGGGAGCTCGTCTGACCTAATCAGCTATCAGTGCTTGACCAAGCTCAAGTACAAATCCAGCAGCATGCACCAGGCGCCCCACCCGCTTGTTGGTTTTGGGGGAGGCGTAGTGCATCCGGTAGGAAGCATAGATCTTCCCATCCGGCTGGGTGAAAAGGGGGAAGGACGCCACATGGTGATAAAATTCCTGGTTGTAGAAGAGCTCGCCGCCTACAACATGATTTTTGGCCGTCCGACCCTCAATGAGTCCAAGGCTGTCATCGTTCCTTCTTTCATGCTTGTCAAATTTGAAAAGGACGATGGAGCAGTCGGTTCCCTTAAGGGGGACCAGAGGACGGCCAGGGAGTGCTATCTCTCTGACGTC